TCCTCCTCCTCCTCCTCCTCCTCATCATCATCATCATCATCATCATCATCGTCGTCATCGTCATCATCAATCATCTTGCTTCAGGGTAAAAACCACAATAAACGTTCTCTGCCTTTCCCTGTCTTGGGATAACCTCTAGATAATATGTCTTCCCACTTTTCTGTACCTCATTCTCTGTGACACTTCTCCCGGTTCTACATAGCCGTCCCCTAGATCTCCTACCCTGTGATCAAAAATAGCACTTTTTTTGTTATGCAGCTGCCTGGCTTCCCGAGAGTATGTCCAGTCCAAGTCGCGTGACATCAAGTAATATAAAATAATTGCACCAACGAAAATATAATTGTGTGTGCTGGCGTGGGAAAATGGGAATAAATCATACAAAATGTCGCTGCTATACTAAAGCCATTTCTCTCACTTTCTGCCACCGTTTAAATCTTTATAATGGATATTCATTTATCAATATTATATTGGAACTGGATACTTTAGGTTATGAAATGTGCGGAGGGCAAAGCTGAGCAAATGCATTAGGAAGAACACAATTGTTTTCCTGGACATTTTGGGATGGATTTCAAATGAAACGATAAAATGCTTCTGAAGCTGAAAATATAGTTTATGAGCTTTCAAATAATAACTGAATCGTTTTGGTTTTTTTTCACACTGAAGACTACAAGATATTGCAACTACAAAATGTATTTGGGTGGCAAGACACATTTTCTCTTATTACATAGGTTGTGAACAGAAATGAGCTACGCCAGTAGTTTTTTATCTTGATTTTTGTATTTGAGCTGTTTTTTCAAATACTTTTACCGTATACTTGTTACCTTGAAATTTCTTTTACCCAACTTGCGTTACCCAAATTTTGTAAGATCCTACTCTTCTTTCAGTAACGTTGAAGTAATGGCGCTTCAAAATGTTCTGTATTTAACTTTCGATCATGGCTAGCCCAAGAATTACATGTGGGCGACATAGAAAAAACCCTAGGAGCATGTCTGTGCATCTCCAAGCTTGAATTATTAGACATGTGCATCTGGCCCACGGCAAACCACAAGTCTCTCGCAACATTCACGTTAATTTATCTGAAGAGGTGGTCAATCATAAGGTTTGTTAGCAACGATTACACTTTAAAGTGTTCGACTCTGGTTTCGGATCTTTGGGACTTTAGCAAATGAAAGACATAGTGTGTTATCATCCTACGTCTTACACAAGCAGTCTTGCCCGAGGGTGTCTGCCGAAAATGAGAACTTGGGCAAATATTGCACACACAAGAGAACCAGTCACCCGTGAATGTGGCTTGTGAAGACGTCCTAGAGCCCTCCATGAAGCTCTGTTATTTTCTGCTTGATTTTTAGCTTGCAGCACTTCCTGTGGTCTCATAGATTTTTCCTTTCAGCATAGATTAGAGCTTTTCAAAATGTCCCATCAGAAGAACAATTCCCCTGAAGCGTCTACGTCACAGCAGCATTATTAAAAAAAAATTATATTATAATTCGAGGTGCAGCTACGACTTATAATCAACTTTGCCGGATGCGTGCGAACACTTTATTATAACTTTGTACTGCGGTGCGCTTGTGTTTTACTTAGTCTTCCCAGCCCTTGCATATCTGAAAACCTTAGAGGAATGCAAACATGATTTGCTTGTCTCTATTCCCTATCAGATGCCATCTAGATGCATGCATGCACATCTTCTCATTGTGCTTCCCCCTGGGGTGAACTGTCTTGAGTCCCGACATCTTATGACAACAAAATTATCGATATATGTGTCGTTTGTCACTTAATTTCTGTCTGTTTTCTTCCTTTCGTTTTATTTCTTTTATACTGGAAAAGCAAGGCAGTTGAAATAACGAGACAGAGCAAGACTTGTCACATATAATATCTATGGCTCAGACGTTGACGTGTAATGCCCGCCAGTGCTCACGTCGCCAGCTGCCATTTTAGCTTTACCTTCTGCCATACCCAGGCCAGTCCATGCCTTGAAGTCGTCTGTCCACGTTGTTCTTTTTCCATCCTTGGCCCTTTTGCCCAACATCTTGCCTTCATTCGAGTATTTCTTTCATAATGGTTTGGTGGCGTTTACTATGACCAAAGCATTGTATTTTTCTACTTTTCATTTTGTTAAGCACGGTTTGTCTTGTGTGGAGAATGTGGCACACCTCATTGTTTGCCATCAATACCTGTCTTCTCCAAACACTGATATGGTGGATTCTATCGAAAGCTTGTTGGTTATCAATATAGGAAACAATAATAGGGCTTTTTTGGGGCTGTTTTTCTTCACATCTATAAAAAAAATAAAATAAAAAGAGACTTCTTCTGTATTTCTCCACCCCGACAGGCTGTTGCATCAAAACCCCAAGCCCACTCAGCAAGACATCGAGGACTCTTTCGACGGCCATGTGTGTCGCTGCACAGGCTATCGGCCAATCTTGGATGCTATGAAGTCTTTTGCTGCTGACAATACTACACCGAGTGCTAAGTGTATTGATATTGAGGTCAGTAAACAGTAAGTTCTAATCAAAACACAATTATATATAGATACTGCCTTTATCTCAGAACTTTACGTTGCAAAGACTATGGTTTATGAAACTGTTACCAACATGCCATGGATTTTAATTGTTTCTTTAGTAAATGGATGAACACCATAATAGCTTCACAGTCTTTTACCTCTCTTTTTGGCCTCAGGGTATTGTTTCTGGAGGTCTTTAAAACTGTAGGCACACTTGTAATTACGACTTATAATTTCTGAAAACAAATTCAAAGATAGCTTTTAAAACCGATACCGATGGTGGAGTGCTTAGTATGCTCGTTACCAGAGCTGAAAGTCTGGGTTTGAGCCTCGGTTCGGACACAGACTTTTTTCACCCCCTCCTGCCCACCCAGCCCGACTTCGAGTTGGGGAAGTAAAGGTGGCGTGAAAAGGAACTGGCCACCCTACTACAATATGCCGAAGGCTCAGGAATTTGTCTCACTAACAAAAAGGCAATCCCCAATGTCCGGATCGGATGCGGGAACAACTTTACTATACTTTTACCTTTGCCCTTAATAAAGCTATAATAATGTTCGATTGTAGAAATTATGGTAGATGATGCTCTATATGTTAGCCAAAAACATATTTGATAACCATGGCTTCCTCTGTTTTAGGACCTGAACAAAAATCTGTGCCCCAAGACAGGAGAAGTGTGTGCCGGCAAATCGACCAAATGTGGTGGTACCAATAACGTTGTCCGTCCTCTCGCCCTTGACGTGGCTGACTCCCAATGGTTTCGGCCGACCTCACTGGCTGACCTTGGTAAACGCCTGGTAGAGAGCAAGGGCAAAAGGACTAGGATGGTCTTCGGCAACACGTCTACTGGTCAGTTCTGCTTTAATTTTATTTGGCTTAGTACGACTTCTCCATTTAGCAGTCATGATATGTGTAGAACAGGCAGCAGTGTATATTCTATTTGTCTCACTACTTTAACTTACTTTAAGAATTGATTGGAATGTGTTTCAAAGCTATAGTCTTTTCCTAAACATATTGACATGTTTCGCTGCCTTACAAGCAACTGAAATATTTATGTTTAATTTTGTACATGTAGTGTTAATGACTTCCTTCTTGGGAGATGGTTAGAAATCACAGCCTACACTCCAAGGATGCTTTTTTACAGGGATCGTAATCCTGAATGTCTTTTGAACTTAGCAGCTGTGTAGGGGTATCAGACAGCGCATACAAGCAGCAGCTTTCTGAATGTGAAGATTTATTTGGCACAGGACACATAGGCCAACAGGCTTTTGAACTATAGGAATAACGTATTGTGCATTGGGTGATTAGTATTGCATAAATAATCGCCTCTGTGATAAGATCGGATAAGTGACATTGGGTAAATTTTTCAAAAGGAAGAGAACTGATTTATTAAAAGGATGCCTTACAGTTTTCCGATTTCCATACTGTTAAAAAGTTCAATTTTGGTTGTTTATTTGAAAATAAAGTTTTAACCAGCATATCAGATTTATGTAACATGCTTTGCAGTATACGTTTTAAAAAAACAAAAAAAACAAAACAAAGGCTATTTATACTTTCTTCTCATTTTTTTATGACATTGTCTTGAAATCCTTGAAACATATAAGAGAAGATAAATTCATTATGTGTTCTTTTGGTGGTGAATAGTGTCCCGATAGTTCAAATTGGGGAATTAGAAATGATGGCACTTAATGCTGTATTTTTCTTCTTTTTTTGTTAATGCAGGAATCTTTAAGAACGAGGGACCATTTGACGTGTACATTGATCTTCATGGTGTAAACGAACTGTATGAGATCAAGGTAGAGTTATTTTTAATGTATTTTATGATACCAACGACATGGTAGCTATTAGTCTAATGTACTGATATGTTTTTTTTAGGTTTATATTATTAGTTGAATTAAGGTGCCATTGATTCTTGCTTTTTATAAATTAATACAATGGACTTAAAATATTATCAATGAAACAGTACTCACACACAAACAAACAAACACACGCGCATTCACTCACACACACTCACATGCACACACACACACACACACACACACACACACTCACATGCACACACACACACACACACACGCACACACACACACGACGTATGCATGCACATACACACACACACACATGCGCACACACATGCACACACATGCACAAACACTTACGGACGCACAAACATGTACACATGTTATACATTCTCTCTCCCTCTCTCTTTCTCTCTCTTTGTCTTTCTATCTGTCTGTCTGTCTGTCTGTCTGTCTGTCTGTCTGTCTGTCTGTCTGTCTGTCTCTCTTTCTCTCTGTCTCTCTCGCTCTCTCTCTCTCTCTCTCACACACTCATACACACACACACACACACACACACACACACACACACACACACACACTCACACTCACACGTACTCATGCACAAATGCCTGCGCATACACTCACTTTCAGTCTGTCCACAAATGCATCCGACTTTAATTGTGGCATTTTTTTCTAAATCACTTGAAGTCTTTGTTTTGTTTTCTTAGTACTGTTTGTGCGAATCTTCTTACTTGTTTTTTATTCTTTATATTATGATCACTATAGTGGGTCTGCTCATGGAGCCCTCCATGTTTACAATTCTGTTAGAAGAGGGCATTTTATTTCACCGAGGACATACCTAATATATTCATCTTGTTTTATATACCCATATCTGGTGACTATCTTTCTCTTGTTATAGTTATCATTTTGTCTCTGAGCTTCCATTCCTTTAGGCCTACTATAAAAACCTCCACTTCTCAACCCAGCTCAGACCATGAGTATGATTACAAAGCTAACCTAAACCTAAACCGCAGCTACTGCACCCAATATCTGCTATCGCATACCTCCTCTCATACAATATTAATTTTTTGTTCCTCCTTGCAGGAGAGTGCAAACAAGGTGTCCTTTGGTGGGTCTACCACTCTGACCAAACTGAAGGAGAGGCTGAGGACCTTGCAAAACAAGCCAGGCTTTGAGTACTGTGCTAAGGTTGTCAAACATCTCAAATTTCTCGCCTCCACCTTAGTGAGAAATGTAAGTATGCACTCTTGTTCAGCAGATTAAGCTTCCCCTTCATCTTTTTTTTCCCAAAACTTTTTTGTTTTTTGTTTTGGGGGGGGGTTCTGTTTTTCTCTTTTGTAAGTGTTATATGATGTCTACTTGATCTGTACTTTTGTTTGTATGGTACTCATAATAATAATATAATAATAGTTTTGGAGGCCATTATCTTTTCTACTTCAGCACTGAGGGAAACTTACATACTTATAAACCTGTACAGTACTGGGAATTTTACTCTGTGTTGAGTGTTGGAGAACCCAGCTTAACACCAATTGCACTTGCTGACATGGGTCTGTTGTTAACTTTTGTTCCTATTTGTGACCTGATTATAAACCCTCATTTTAATTCTCTTAAGAAAGGGATCCTTTTATTTCAATGACTTCAACTAAAACTTTTTTTTCTCTAATAAATAGACAAAGTGTGCACTAACGCTTTAGAGCCTGTTTTGTTTGTCTCAGCTAATTGTATATTTTGAATATGCTTTCTGTTATTCCATATTATGTTTTCTCAATCATCATCCTTTCCTCTATGAGCAGTTACTGTGCCAATGTTTTTATAAAATTCAAACCCCCATGAATCGTGTTCCCAGGCTGGCTGCATTGCTGGCAACTTGATGATCAAACATGCTCACCCTGAGTTCCCGTCTGACCTGTTCACCATGACAACTGCTATTGGTGCCTCTGTCACTGTTTATGGTAAGCCTGGCTGTTTGAACTCACAGATTATTTTTTTCCTCTTTTCTTTATATTTTCTTAACTAAAACCAGAATATACATTTTTTTTCCTTATGCTCTTGCACAGTTGCCGGCTCTAAATGCTACAGAATTTACTCCTCCAAGTGTTAATGTCATTTTTTTACTTCTAAAGATTATACTTGTGAATTTTAGGCAAGAGAAAATGAAGGACAATGACTTCAAGTGAGGGCGATAACTTTTTGTTTTGACAGTTACAAGAAAAATGGTGATTGACCAAAAAAAAACCCAACTACTTTTGAATCTTGCTTTAAGTGAGAGCAAAAGAATTAACAAACATATAGAATGAAATGTTGAAAAAAGGGAATTGGTACTTATCTTAGGTTTCTAAAACTGCATAACTTATTTTACCTGTATAATAGGGACTAGTTAAAATAAGTGTTTTACGGCACTCACAACACAATGAGGTCACATAAGTGCGGAAGATTACAGGTGTTACAAGAGAGTAACAAATACAAAAAGGAAAAGAGATAATGACGAAAGATGTTTGATAGGAAAGTAGGAGCAAACCACACCAGAGCACCTGCTAACCACCCATAATGACCAACATGATTTTGAGTCACATATACAAGAAAGTGCAGTGACCAATGCCTTTGGGTTATCTATACAGTAAAGTGTAGAGGCCATCATGACTCCAATGACTTTGGGTCTTGTTTTTATTCAAGTGTAGTCACAAACATTTATCACACATCCATGAGCCCTGCATACATTGGGATACTGTGATATATATATGACCTGCCTTAGTGTTACTGACAATAAAACAACATTTACTCTGTTCCGCACATTTACAGATGCAGCAAAGAAAAAAAGCCATGATTACCCCATGGTGGAATTTCTGAGGAAAGTGGACATGACCAACAAAGTCATCCTGGCATTGGTCTTTCCCACACTGGAGAAAAATGTGCACTACAGATCGTTTAAGATCACGCCCCGATCACAGGTCAGTGACAGACGTTGAAGTCAGAGTTGGTTACTCTTGAAAGGAAGTGATACCATTTAAATAACGTTTTAATTTTGGATGGTGTCTACAGCTTAGGTAAAACTTAGTGCTTGGGTCTACATTATATTTTTTTCTGTATCCAACTGTGTATTGAGCATGAGTCCTATACAGACATTGAAACGAGCACAGCTTGAACTTTGAATGTCTCAGGCTTGAGAAGGATACACGCAAAATACAGATACTGTAATGTTAATGGCTCATATTTTACCCCCTCAAAATATCTATAAAAAGTTTCGCACTATATCATAGTTGAATTGTCCAAACACGTTAGACAATACAAATATGGAAAACGTCAGCAGTAATTGTTGTTTCTTTACCTGAGAAGGTAATGGAACTTATTTTCATAACATATTAGGTGTCTAAAAAATAAGAGAGGACCTAATTATAAATGAAAATAACTCGGTTATCTTTTGACTAGTTTCAACAAAAACCTGAAGATAGCGAGTTCAGTCCAGAGCAACCGAGAACTGCGTTTTATGTTGTTCTAACCTCATTAACCCTTAGTGTGGTTCAATGGAGCAGTGCTTGAAATGAAGAACCTTGCTTACCAAGGATGTCTCGTCTCTAGCTAAAACATATACTTCTTTGCAGGGTTTTGTCATAGGCCCATCACAATACATTGACAGAATTTGATTGCCTGAGTGTTAACATTAACAATGTTAGATGGTTATGTTGTCTCTCCTGTAATATTTAAAAATTCAATAAGTTTCAACAAAGTGCTGACGAAAGCAGTTTGGCGTCAAACCTACGGGGTCTATGGCCTGCAGTTGGTCGAATGACACTCATATTCTACATCCTGTAGGAGTAGGATTAGTATCCTCTCTTTGTACATACTATGTCTTCTTTCATGTTTTCCTTCTTCCTGGTATGTCATTGGAGAGTCTGGCAAAAGTAAAATAGACCCCCCCCCCCTCTTTTTTTTTAACCTTAAACCCCAAAGTGTTTAGGACCCACTTTTGTAATGATTCGTTTGCATCTGGTATGGCATCAACTGCCCCCCCCCCCTCGAAAAAGAACAAATCTCAGAAATGCACTGTTTTCAAGCTAGTGAATTTGAGTTGAAAAGACACTATCCCACATTTCCTAATTGTTACGTCTTTGCACTCCTCTCCTAGAATGCCCACGCCTATGTGAACGCTGCCCTGTGTGTTCCAATTAATAGTCCGAAGGGGAAACAAAGACCGTCCATTGTTTTTGGAGGCATCAGTGCCCAAATGGTGAGTCGGTTGTCTGGGTAAGCAGGCTGTTCTGTAAGATCTCCAGGTACCAATAAGTGTCTTTTCTAATCTTTCCAAACATACATAAGACTTAAATTATTCACAATCAGTAAAATTGTTCAGGAATCTGATTAAATGTAAACACAGACTCAAGTATAATTTTTGGAGAATCTGAGACAATTTATTTGTGGGGAACTTAAAGAATGTAAATATTGATAACATTTCATGTGCTGGTAATGTGGAGTACATATATTATTATTATCTCACTACTGCTGCAGCGTTTGGATTGCACTTTCTCTCTCTCTCTCACACAAACACACACACACACACACACACA